GAGAGAGAGAGAGAGAGAGAGAGAGAGAGAGAGAGAGAGAGAGAGAGAGAGAGAGAGAGAGAGAGAGAGAGAGAGAGAGAGATTCGATCGATGTCTTCACTTGCGGCTTTCGCTTTCGAAATTCGCCCGAAAGGAAATAGAACGCTTCGCGAGATCCGCGGTTTCCGAGGGGGCGGTTGGCGAACCTGCGCTAACCACCGGGAGAAGACTGTCCGATCATTTGTACTTCAATTTCTATCTGCCTCGTTATCACCCGATAAATCAATCATTTATCTTCGGCGCGGATAAGCGGTATCATCGAGCAGATAATGGCACGTTCAACAACAAAAGCGCTGATCTAAGCGCGATGCTCAAGATCGCCGATGACGAATGTGCGAAAAATGCAGAAACCGATTTTTTTTTTCTCAACCCTCCTCGCAAGCTCCAAGCTCGCCTCCGTATCATCATAGTCACGTAGTAATATATTATTATTATTATTTCATAATTAATTATTTCGTAATTTTTTGCAATTATTATTTTGTAATGTTTGAATAATTCTTTATCTTTCCTTTGTCCGACGATGTAATCATCTTAACGTCTTCTTTCACGCGCGAACAAATAATTTAATTTATCAACGCACGCGTAAAAAAATTAATAATAAAAATTGACTTGATAATAATGTAATGTATTCATGCATATGCATATGCATATGCACTATGTTTAAAAAATCATAAATAAATATGAAAGGTAGGTTTCTAATTATTTTTTAATTGTTAATCTTTGAAAAATAATTTAAAATATAAGAATTGAATTTAAAAGACGATATTATTCTTTTACAAGAATTCATTTCTCTTCGATTATATTGTGATTTATCAGACATCTTATACGCATAATGCAGTACGCATAATGTAGTGCGCTTATTAACATAATTGCATATTCACGATGAATTTTGTTATGACCGATGCACGATCATAACTGTCTGCTTATTTTACAATGAGCAAACATGCGTTTATCATTTTTATAAATTTAATTATATGATATACTTTTTTTATTATCTATTATACCTTGTTAATTTACAAGTATCGAGTTACTTTCTATTATCTAAATTAACATCTCTTCCTCGTATTAAAGATACGATTTCTAAATTTTCTTTATTATTTTTTTTATGTTTATAGAATTTTAAAATAAAAAAATTTTATATATTAGCTTTGATAAAAAAGACAATTTATAAAAATAACCATTTGATGACACTTCCAGCGTTAGTTATATATTATAAATGTGTTGTGTAAACATCCTGTAATTATAAGAGCAAATGATCTTTGCATTTTATTTTTTATGTAAATGTGAAAAGTTCCCGTACAATTGCTGTCAAAGATTATGCACCTAGCAAACACCGCATTCCGATAATCCGGCAATTCCGGCGACGATGATCAATACTTCCTCAATGAAATTCCGAAAATGGAATTTCTTCGCTCGATCGACCTTTCCCGTGACTTAATTAACCAGAATCTACGCATTTTTCACCTTTCTTTCCTTCCTTTTAACATTCAAGTATTATTTCTTTTTTCACTTTGAAAATATCAGGTTTGACTGTTTTGTTGAAAAACGCTTGAAGAAACTTCGCACTCTGTGCGTCTAATAAATAGCGATTCCCATTCATCCTCATTCTCCTTCTCTCTCTTCTTTTTTTTTTATTACGACTAATCTGACAAAACAAGCCACAACTCATTCTGTTATCTTCATTCTTATTTTTCTGGATTTCACGTGGCACAAAGTACTCAAAGTACTTTGCGTAATTAAATTTTTTTTATGTATAAAATATACATTAAAAATATGCACATCAAGGCACGTTACTGCGGAACGAGATTCGTGAAAGAAAACGAGATTCGTGGCGAGAAAAGAACGCAGTAGCTAAGGTCTTTCATTCGCTCGCGAGACGAATGGTCTCACGCTAGCGTAACCAGAGTGCGCTTAAGGATTAAAGTAACGTCGCGCCTTGCCTTGGGATTTTTTTCCGGAATTTTCTGCCTCGAGTTCGAGAAAAAAGTTCCGAAGAAGTTTCCGGAGCTGAAACTCGGAAACGCTCCAGGGGTATTCCGTGATAATTAATTCCTCCCCGTCGTTGTACTTCTTTGCACGTCTGCAATTGCGGTCATGTCTCAATTAATTACTTTTATCTCCCATTCGCAACCCCGATCGTTCATCGCGCGATCCTATTTGAGGGAGAAAGAAACAAAACAAAACAAAAAAAAACAAAGAGGGGGAAGAGAACGATTTCTCAAATAGCGGAGCGGAACGCGACGATCGGCAGGCCGCCCTCGCTTTGCAAGCTTCCCCGTAGGAAGAACTCCCCGAGTAATGAAAATCGATCGTTACATCGGGGAAACGAGCCTCCTAAATGCGGCCTCGCTGGTCGATATCGAAGTTCGAGATCTTTCGCGTCGAGGAACGTTGGCAAATGTTTTCCTCGGGTCCAATTCCGGCGGTTGCGTGCCGCCCGGAAGGGGGGAAGAAAAAAATATACTCGCGATGCGGGCCGGGGGCCGGGGGGTAGAATTTTCCGATCTGGGGTGTTTTCTCTTACCCGCGCCCCTTCTGCGCGCCCCTTTACTTGTTGCTGCTGATGCTGCCACTGCCGCTGTTGCTGCTGCCGCCGGCGACGACGAGTTCCATGCGCGTTTCTATCGATCCGCCTCCCGTCGGCCTATATAAAAGCCTCCGCCATTGGTGGTCGTCCTGGTCGCGAGAGAGAACAGAACGGGATTCCATGCACACCCGTCGTTAACGACGTTACGACGTACCGAAAAAGAAAGAAGTAGAAATAGAGAAAGAGAAAAGAAAAAGGCGCCGGTCGTTATTAAAGCCCGATTTATCCCGAGGGGTCCTGTCGTCGCGCGGATGAGAGATTAAATTAAATCAGGTACGTCTCATATAACCCGCGATCCACACCACACACTTCATTCACCTCATATTAACCCATTTACATCCCGTCAATTAAGTTTCACCCCCCGCTCCCCTCCCCCCCCACGGCAATTCATCATCACGTATAATTCAACCGCTGGCATCGCCAGCGTTTCCATTGTCCGCATCGATGAGCCGCGACTTGCGTTTCTCCTCGTCGTCTTCCGGTTGCGAGAACTGCGACGTATTATATCTTCATTTTAGAATTCGTCGAGTTTCAAATTGATTAGAAGGCCCGTCTGTGTAATCGCCGTGTGGGCGATTATCCTCCAATCGACTCGCGGTCCGACGAGTCGTCTTTCGCGGTCCCCGCTTCTTCTCGCGCTGAACGCGCGCCGTAACAGCCAGCGAGAAATTATTTTGGGATTTGTCATAATAATGTAGCGTGCCGATAAACGAGGTCGTCGTGTGTCGATTGGTGAAACGAATACACGTACGGCCGTGGTGACACGCGAAATTCCGAAGCGTACGACGGTCTCGCGCTGGACGTCGGGTACCATCTGGTAACTTGATCCTCCCTCGTAACTGGCCCCTCGCTTATCTAAATACCAACACCAGTTCTGTCAACATCGGATACTTTAATCCAAAAAGCGACTTGGGATTATTCTACACGCGAGTTTAAGTAATTCTATTCACGTGCGTCACGATTTGTGTACACAATCAGCAAATGTCCCCTCGCGAAGACGTTTATTGATCCCGATGGGAAAGGACGTTTATACATTGCGCGATGTAATCATTCTAAATTAACTTGTGGCCTTTACCACGTTATTACAACATTTTTCCTATTTAATTAATTTTATTTTATTTTTTAACTTGTAATTAAAAAAAAAAACAAAAAATAAAGAGGGCTATCTCTGTTCCACGAGGGCGATTTTTATTTCACAGAATTTTGTTGCTTATCTCTTTCTGCTTTTAGCATCTCTTTTTACTTTAATCTAATTTTAAAGTTAATGAGTTTTTACGATAAGTTTTAATATTAAGTTCGAATGAGTTTTGCCATCAATGTCGGATCGGATTTATGAGGAGTTATTCCGACTGATATTCACTGGCCTTGTCTTGAGTTGTCTGCTGTTACGTCGTAGATTTCCTCGATACGTCTTCATCCGTGCGAAGGACTTCGTTACCCTATTAACAAAATCGATATTAGCTTGGTATACACTATGCAAAATAGACGTGGTCGGTATATCTATATATATTTATTACGATGTAGAATACAACACGCGTCTCGCGATTAAGATATCGAATACAGAATCAAATTACAAACTGTTTTTCCAAACTGTTCTAAAAGAGTACTGAGAAAATAAAAATTGTATTAAAAAATAAAAAATTATATAAAGAATAAAATTGCAATAATATGACGTTACTGTTCAAAAAGAATGATATAAGATTATATTTTTTTTTTTAAAGAGAGATATTTCTCTTTCTTATTGATTTGATATATTGATTAAAAAATATATAGTTTAATGGACAATGTTTAAATAAAACAAAAAAACATACATTACTGACTAATTAAAATCAAAGAATTTATTTATTTTTTCAAATTTTTTTTTAAGTCAATGTATTTCTTTATAAATAATTAAGAAGTTTTATTTAAAAATAAAATAATCTATGTCTATCTCTATATATTAATCCCTTTTTTTATAATTGGCAAAATTATTTTCTTAAATCCACATCTTTTTTGTATATAATATTTTAATTAATGTACAAATATACCTGCAATAAAAAAATAAAAATATTAAAATTGTAAAAAGAACTAATAAGACTCTAGAGTTCTCCATTAAAAGGTGAGGAATCCAGGACTCTTATTAATAGCTTTTTATAATTCTATTATGATTTTTAATCAATCTTCTACCAGGGCGTTCAATTAATTGTATATTTTTTTGTAACAAAGGAATAAAAAAGGAAGATAATTAGCGTCTTTAATTTGCTCTTCAACAGTGTTTTTTTTTTTGCACGATATTACACAGCCATCAGTTTTGTTCGACCAATTCGAACGCAATGGCATCGCCACGGTGGATGCTGACACTGCTGATCTTGGGGACCAGTGCCTGGATCGTTGCTGCGGCTCGGCAACCACCCCATAACGAGTTATTCAGGAACGCTCTGGACACCGTCGTGCGCAAGCAGAGATCCCTAGATCCTGCGGACTCGCCGGAATACTACAACGATCTGCACTCGTTCAAGTACCACGGTGGTGACGCCGATCGCAAATTCGACCGCGACTTCGAGGACGACGAAGAGATCGAGTTCCTGCCTGGTGATGAGATCTCGAAAAAGATTCTTTTTTTTTTAACTATGAGATATAAAGAAGAAAATTAAATTTTCAATATATTGAATATTTCACTCTTGGATTTCACTTTTGTGTGTTATATTCATTTATCGTATTGGAATTTTGCATTGTTAATTGTGAATTATTTTCATCGTGATTTTAGATAATGGTCAGCTGGAAATGGTTGGAGACGGTCTTCAAGGTCTGAACAATAAGCTACTCGAAAGGGCGCTGCTTGATTATTTGCAGACTCTGCCTGAACAGGTAAATTCCTCGATTTGTCATTTACATAATAGATATAGTAATAAGATACTAATAAATACCAATAATAAGATACTAATAAAGACTATCATTTTATTTTTGAATCAAGATCGAATCCTAATATTAAATTGTAGTCTCAATTTTGATAAACAAAAACATTAAAAATATATTTAATTACATATGAAAAGTAGCATAAGCGTGTTGGCATGGACATAATTTCTTTATTTAAATACTTTTAATTTTAATTATATAAAAACCGAAAATAGAGATATTTTGATTTTTGGAAGATTTCCGACGGACATCGCGATAATTGTTTACAGGAAGAACCAGTAGCCTCGATTTTCCGCGAGCGTGAGCGAAGTGGTAGCCGCAAACGGGGTGGCGCCGGTAACCGGATGAAAGGGTTAAACGATAAGGATCTGAAGTTGTTCGTGGAAGAACTGCAGGACAGTTCTCCATACAGTTCGCTCGTAGAGATGGACGATGATGATTTAATGGCTTACAAACGATACTTTGATCCCTCTCCGATTACCGATGCGTACAAAAATTCAGAAGATGAATACAAGAGGGACAGAGAATACGAGTAAGTACAACGGCTAAATTCTTTTAATTTATTAAAGACCGCAATTTTAAACGACGAGTTTTATAATCTTATTGATTTACTGATATAAAAAAATGGATAAGCACCTTATATATTTCTAAATCAATTTAATTATAATTGTTGGAAGAATCTTATAACGGGAAAATTTAAGCGAAAATTATTTGTATCATTTTAACGTTATCTTTTCCAATTTAAAATAATTTTTATGTAACGCAACATAATATAAATGTCCCCTGAAGAAAGGGACAATCGTTAATGGATCGAAAAAGAGACTTAACTTAACATAATTTGGGTCGAGCTTAGAAAGCTACTGAACAGAATGATGAAGGATGGCAACAACGAAGTGGAGCATTCCGATCCGGAACAGGACATTCTGTATTTCCCGATGGCGGAACGCAGAAACGTGAACGGTCGATATCCCATCGGCCGTGACTACGACAGCTATCGCAAGCTGAATAAGCGCTATCCGGTCGCTAAGAGAAGCCCCAGGCCCACTCAAACTAGAATAAAGGCCACAGATCCTAAGGTAACGCGACAAACGACAGAAGGACCAATGGTGTCGTCCAAATTATGTCGTCCCAAATTATATCGTACGCGCGATTAAACGGAATAATTATCTGTCATTTACTCATCAACTTCTATTTCACGTGGCTCGTTACGAAATTATATGTTTCAAGGAATCAAAAGTTGACGCAACATTCCTATTTCAAGGTTGTTCAAGACCTGAGAGCCATATTTGGCACGCAGTCCACGGATTCGCACAACCACACTCGTAAATCCGATCACGAACACGATCACGATCACGAACGCAAGCACGAGTCCGATCAGAATCACGATCACGAACACAAGCACGAGTCCGATCAGGATCAGGATCACGATCACGATCATGATCACGATCACGATCACGATCACGATCACGATCACGATCACGAACACGAGCACGAAGGCAAGTCGGAAACGTCGCCGAAAGTAACGCCGTCCCCGATGGGCCAGAAGGAGAACGTTATCAAAAACGTAACCAAGTCGAAATTCGTCCAGGTGAGGAAAAAGAGCGTGGACTGGTCGCAATATTTCGGCATTGATCGGAGGAAGAAGAAGGCCACCTTCACAGCCGGACAGGACACGCAGAATCAGGATGACGAGTGGATGCTGCAGCGCTACTACGAGGTATACCGTAATTATTATTATGCAGCCAATAGAAAAACATTTATTTATCAATATTGAAATAATTCGATTCTGCGAGTAAACAAATACTTTTGTTGACAGAATATGGCCGAAAATTTGAAGTCAAGAGATGATGAGAACGAACAGAAGGACAAACTCGAGCAGATGGACTCGAAATTGAAGTATATTAAAGACATGATTCTTGAACAAGCTATGAGATATGCCAATTCGGAGGATGAAGCGGATCTGCAGAAAGTAATTTTTTTTATATTTGTACTTTCATGCATAAAAAGAAAGCTTCGATCTAATTGAATAAAATGATTTTAATACTAGGCATATAAAATTTTTAGAGACACTAACTTGTTGACACAAACTATCCAATTTTAAACGGTAAAATTAATTTATAATTAATTTACAGTAGTTTTAAAAGAATAAATACAAGTTGGATGTATAGTAATAATAATCCCTAATAAGTAGTAATAATAAGTATTATATAGTAATAATACACATTAGATTGATATTTTTAAAGTTAGAATTCTTAAGTGGAAAATATGGAAAAAATATATGAATAATAAAATTAATACAGATGAGAATAAGAATTGGCAATAAAATAAAATTTGTAAAAATATTCAACAGGTGAAGGATAAGTTAATATCACGATTGGCAGCGGCTTACTCGTTGCAGAAGATGCGAAAAGCATTGAATGATCTTCGAAATAACGTCGCGGTTCAGAAAGAGGCGCAGAGGACGCAAAAAGAGACACAGAACAATTTTACGTCTAACTTTCGCGAAAATAGCAACAATCCGAATAGCGCTAGCGGCGGTAGAATCGATGAAAAACGGAACAGCATCAGTAATAATATAGACGATGGCGAACGTGAGTAATCATGGAAAAGGGAAATTATGTCAATTATGTATAGAATATCTCAGAATTAACGAGCTATCATTTATTGAATTTTTTTCTCTTGAATTGCAGCGTGTTATATATTATTAGTTTACTAAATATTTTTCCGAAGAAATTTTTATACAGTTTTACAGTTTTTTTTTTACAGTTTTTACAGTTATACAATTTAATTCAGTCACAATTTTTAATTCTTTTTATAATTTTATTTGGCAACTCTAATTTTATTTTATAATATTATAAATTTACCAAAGCAAAATTTATTTAAAGTTTTATAAGAAATAAAATCTTAATCTGTTCTCAGAATTAAATTTTATTTAATTTTCGGGCAAGCTTTTTAATCGCTTGCAATAACTTAAAAGTTATTGATCTGTAATTTTTATTAGAAAAATGATAGATTCAAAGAACTTGCAGGCAAAAATCAGGCTCAATAAAATCTGAGATTACCTGTCTAAATTTAACGAATTATATTAAATAATAATTAATGTAGATGTAATATAACGATTTATACAGCTATCGAGGAGCCGAGAAGCTGTCCGGAATTAGAAGCCATCGAGTGGCGATGCCGAACCGTCGACAACCTGGCCGGCGACACGTCTCGGATGCTCTACGTGCCCTGTGTGAAACTACAGATTTGCAAGGCTTGCGTATGTAGACACAAATTTTCATCTTTACCTTACAAAGATTTTTAACACGTCGAGAATTGCATATATAAATTGATCGAATTTGTCTACGACAAAAATCGCGTGTGAAAATGCAAAAACATTTTCTATACATCCAGAAAATCTTCTTTGAATATTATTTAAATACCAAAGAGAATATCCATCCCCAAATCATCCCCATCGAGCTTACTGATATCAAAATTTTCAAGGCAATCTCTCATTTTTTAATTCTCTATGTATAAAAGATTCAAAAAAAAGTTCCAACATCTCTTTTATTTAAATTCAATTTCATCGATATTCAAAGTATATACATTCTAACATAGTAAATTAACATTTCGATGTTGATCTCGAGAGGATTGTTAAAGTTCCCCTCAAACCACCCTTAAAAACCCCCGACCATCCCACCAAGCCCACAATCAAGCCGTTTCGTGTGGCAGGCGCAGGACGAGGAGGGGCTGTTACCCTGCCTCGCGAACTACGCCCTGGAGGCCGGCAAGGTGTGCGACACGTTGGAGTCCAGGGACGGTCAATCCCGGATGGCGGCGATGCGCGAGGGTGAGAGGCAGTCGTGCGCGAACGCCGCGTTGCTGCTGTCGCAGCTGCAGCCGCCCGCGGCGGCGACCGCGCAGTGCCGCGCGCGGAACGTCCGCGACTCGTGTCTGCGGCGTTACCACGCGCGATACGAGCACCGCTACTTCCGCACGTCGCCGGCGTACGAGAGGACCGGACATCGTCTTCCCCATCACGAGGGCGCCCTCGACGCGCTCCAGCAAACCATGTCCGAACGATAAGGCGACCAGACGAACGCGAGGAAGCTCCGCGGTTCGGCCGCGCGACGAACATCGGCGGCGGATCGCCAATTATCCGGACATCGGATCGTCGTCTGAGCAGTCCGAGTCCCCCTGACCGTCTCCCCCTCCCCACCCTCCCCTCCCCCGACATCCCCGATCGAATGAAGATTTTCATCGGTTTATGAAGTCGAAACTGTGTCGCCATCGTTGTTTTTGTTTCGTTCAACACCCTTGGCCTACGTTTCTTCCTTTTATGTCCGAATTTCGTCCGGATAATCGGCGGCTTATTGCATTAAAGAATTTTCCGTCATGAAAAGAAGCATGGAGCTCGACCATCTTCAGTGGGTACCATACATTCCCTTGAACTTCTGAGATCTCTCTCTCTCTCTCTCTCTGTGGAGCACTCCCGAGAAAAAGAGAAGAGTCTTTAGAAATTTATGACGGAGTTGTTTTAATCATCGAGCTCCTGCGTGTGGTACCGGCTGAAGGATTAACGGACAGACGTACGAAAAGTTGTTCCCGAATCGAAATAAAATGTATCGGAATAATCAACAAATTAAATTATGAAATTAAATTCATGTCATTTTTTTCAGGATACCGGGGAAAAAAATAGTAGTACGCAAAAAAAAGAAATAATAATTTTTAAGTTTTCGTTTGCCCGTTTCCTTTCGATTCGAGAAAAACGCTCATCTCGATACGTTGAAACAGCTGCTTCTGCAGTTTGTTACTCCTTCACGTATAAATTCTTCGTCAGAGCGAAATTTCAAAAGCCTGAATAAAAAAATTAAAAAAAAATATATATTATCTAATTAACGAAATAACATGTTTCGTCTGTTAAAAAGGAAAATAAGCTTGGATTTAAAAGGAAAATATATAATATTTCTAATTAAGAGAATAACATATTCTATGTATTTGCGAGGTGCGCTATTCGTCTGAAACGGCTTTCCGAAACAACCTCTCTTTCTCTCCTCCTAAATCAAACTGAACAACGATTAACGACTTATAGAGACAATAATAACGATATCTCCTCTGACAGATTCATCCGCACGATGACTCGCAATAAGAACCGAATTCTGCGAACGTTCGCTACCAAAGAAAAAAAAAAGAATCCGCAAAATTCCATCGAATGTGGGAGTTCGGACGAACGCCTCGCAAATGAAAGTTAGACAAAAAAAAAATTGAAAATTGAAGTGACGTATAAATATATATGTGAATCATCGTGTTAAGTATCCTGAAAAGAGAAAAATAAGGGGAAACGTTGCCTTTCCCTAACGTACTAATTCTTTGCGCCTGTCAAAACTACATTAGCGCAATTATTATTCGTGTTTAATTTTTCGGCATGTAGTAATTACACGTGCGATCGCCGAGGCATGAAAAAAAAAGAAGAAAAAAAAAAATAGGAGAAATAAAGAAAGTTAGAGAAGGATACTTAACGCAGCTTCCAAAGAGTCTCTATCGCAGATCTATATCTATTATTATTATTACTGTCTATTATATATCAAAAGTTTACGTTATACGACGTTATACGGATATCGCACATCGATCTACCGATCGATGCGTCTCAGTCCTATATTCAAAATGTAATAAATATATTTCAACATAAGCACGCCGTCTTGCGACTTCACGTCTCCTTTCAATACGCATGCACCTTGTTATAATTTTATAATTTACAATAACTTCATTACCTGATCATTGTCGCGCTTTTCGATCATTTTCATAACGTTGTCGTCATTGCTACCGAAGGAGTCCACGGACTCGAAAATCTTCAACATTTCCAGTATCTCCAAACATTCAGGCTTATACAGTTTCAATAATTCCAGTTGAAGCTTCGCACAATCAGCTGCAACAAAACCGACGGTTGTTTTATTACAAAAAAAAAGAAAAAGTGACAACGTCACACGGTGTTCCCAAGCGGTCACCCATCCAAGTACTAACCGTGCCCAGCGCTGCTTAACTTCAGTGATCGGACGAGAACTGGTGCTTTCAGCGCGGTATGGATGTT